GATGCAGAACGCGGCCCTAACACCCGCTATTATACACACAAATCCGCGCTCTCAGCCCGTCAAGCCACCACCTTTTATTCTCATCATTACAAACATCAGATTCAGCGGAATACTGCGGTGAGACTGCAAACCGACATGACAAACACAACCGCTACCACACCGACCCTGATAAACCCTCTGTAAGAACATCCCATAGGCCCAATCTTCTTGCTTAAGAAACCGGCCCTGCTTTTTGATCTGATGAAACTTACAAATCCCTTCATTACAGTTTCTCTTCCTGTGTCCTTAACCTGTACGCATTTTATCGGGTCAAGAACACATGTGAGATATACTATTAGGCATGTTAGACGTTTTCATTTGAACATATGAAACAAACTTCTTCTCACCTCTTTCTTGATTTGAGTATTGTCTGTCTCTGAGTTGTGCTGGTTAACCTGAAGACGCAACCTTCTCGAGGCGTCCCCCTGCATTACAAACTGCTCACCACAAACCGGGGCTTGTGCCCGTCGTCCCCTGATCTTGATTCCTGTTTCAGATGCATCATTATTGATCTTGTTGCTTGTGTTGAGGAGATTCTGGGGATAGTATGGAATCTGTTCTGGCGTTAGTTGCATTATCTCCTTCTTCTCTGGAAACTCATAGGGAATTTCAAGAAAAGTATCCAAGAACTTTGACATATATTCGTCCGCGTCGTTTGTACCATACTGAGTCTGAATGTGAGCCCCGTTGTGGTTTATGAATAGTTCGCTAGACTCAGACTGAAATCCATTGAAAGAGGATCCGAGCTCAGATTGCACCTGAGAGTGCAACGGAGAAAACAGCTTGTAGTTCAGGGACTCCAGCTCCGGATATGAGAGCCAGTCGATATCGTCAAGCTGTTGATTAAGATAAAGTTTGTAAGTTTACAAAGCAGATTCTGTCAATGAAAATACTGGATTTTGTTCAGACTTACCTCGGTGGTCGTAACCTCAGGGGCAGAGTTTTCACTACGACATTCGCTGGAGACTACAAGAGAAGATTCTGCAATCTCAGAATTCTTCATGTCTTCTGTTCTAGGGAAACCCGGAGATACCTCAGACAGTTCAACATCGGACTTCATCTCATCCACAACAGTTGGAGACGAGACAGCTGGTTCGACTTCACATGACTTTGAATCTTCCGCTGCAGCATCGTTCACAACATCTTGCTTCTTAAACAATTTGCAAATAACAAATGGGTTCTGCAACCAAAACAATCCAACAACAAGAATCAGAAACTCGAAAGATCCGAAACACAAGTGATGTTGGCATTTGCCAAGTTAGTTTACCTGGCCAGACTTTGTTCCATCAAGATCCTTTTCGGTTGCGCGGTACTCGTGTATAATCCAACAGGTCCGTGTTCCCTTAGGTGCACGACCTGTGTAAAAGACTAGAGTCCTCTTCACACCTATAATCTTGGTATTGCCTGATTTGACCTTGCGGTCTTTCCCAGTCGCCTTCCAGTAGCCAGCCACAGTGGCACGATTCATCCTACTCCCACTGGGATACTTCCGGTCCAATGGACAAAAGAATAGCCACTCTGAGTCTGTTGTCTTCACCACAGAAAAATCTGCAACAAAACATCACCACAATACGAAAAATTCAACTCTTTACTCGACTATAACATCGATCACAGATAAACACAAGTACCCAAATTCACTGATTCTACTACTAAGCTTTAGGTATGGAATAAACCGAAACTGAAGCGTGAGAGATACTACAACTAAGACTAAAGAGGTAAATCAATTAGCTAAAGCAATCACAGCTCGATCTGAGGATCTACAAGAGAGATTGAAGAAAAGGATAAAGTGAATTACCAGGCAAATCCCATGGTTCCCATTTGCAGATATCGACTTCACGGATTACTCTGACTTCATCATCGCGACCGTTGATCTTTAGCCGGAGATAATACCGGACTAATTCCTCGTCCGTCGGACTAAATCTGAAACCCACCGGTAGTGAAGCCAGCGACAATACTTCCATGTCTTCTTTCATCGGTTCGCGACTCTTTTGAGAATTCGAGTTCACAGGAAAAACTAGCAACGATAGTATCCAAAAATCGGATCAGAGATGCGATTCAAAAGGTATCAAGAAGGAAAAACCCAGATTCTGGAATTTGACAAGTAAGAAAAACCCTAGAATCGATACGATTTGGTAAAGT